TATAAGCTGGGAAGGGGCACTTGGCCTACCAGCTAAGATGCTGCTCGGGACACCTGCATCCCGTATCCAGGGCCTGGCTCAGGTTCCAGCTGTTCTGCTTCTGGCTCCAGCTACCTGCTAACACACATCTGAGGAAGCTACAGGTGATGGCCCAAGTAGTTGTGTCCCCGCCACCCACATACAGATGTGAATCTCCATTATTTCACTGTCTGCCTTTTAAAAATATTTTATCTACTCATCTATATTTATTTGAAAGACAGAGTTAGAGAGAAAGATCAAAGTCTTCCATCTGCTGGTTCACTTCCCAAATGGTCACTTCCCAGTGGACTGGGCTGGGCCAGGCCGAAGCCAGGAACCCAGAACTCCAACCAGTCTCTCACGTGGGTGGCAGGAGCCCAAGTCTGTGGGCCATCTTCCTCAGCTGCCCAGACGTGCAGCAGCTGGGATTCTAACTGGCTCTCCCGTGAGATGCTGGCGTAGCAGCTGGAGGCTTAACCTGCTGAGCCACACCGGTCCCTCCCTCGCTGTCTTTTAAGTAATTAAAATAATTTTAACAACTTTTAGAGATAGAAAATGACAAATTCTATGACATTAAAATTTAAAACTACGCACAGAAAGTCATCACAAAAGTAGAAGCAAATCTCATATTGGAAGGTACTTACAAAGATGAACTTCCAAAGTACCAAGAATATATTTCCAACATGTAGAAATCAATTAGAAACAAACCAGGGGGGTGATCAAAGAATGGGGGCAGGCACTTCACAGCTCCATCTCAAGAGTAACTATGGAAATGCAAAGTGAAGCCTCCCAGGGCCACTAAGTCCAGGCTTCTACACACATTACCTCACCGCCATCATCTGCAACCCCACCCAACATCTCAGCACTCAACAGTCTCCGCCTCCCACCACCACTTCCTACCTTTCCAACTCACTCTCCCTTGACACCAACACCTCTGTACTGCCCTCCACTTCCTCTCATGCCTTCACTTCCCTCCTCAACCCACTAAAACTGTCAGTCTTTCTCACTATCCTTTCTCCCTCCATTGCACTTCCCCAGCTAAGCTTTAACCGGGATTAACTCCTGCTCTCCCATTCCTCTCTGCCCACATCCACAGCGTAGAGCAGTAACGAGGGAAAGACGCAGCCACCCTCAGCTGAAATTCGTGACAGGTCACCTCAAGTGGGCCTGCGGGACCCGCCACCCAGTGACCGTTTCTCATTTTCCTGTTTCATTCACTCTCCCACTCCCTGCGCAACTGTTTCTTACCTTCTCCTGTCTCCTCACACTTTGAACACCTCTTCTTTAACACTCATTCACAGCTTATTTCACGGAGAAAACTAAACCCCTATTCCTTGCACCCACCTCCCTGTATCTATGCCCATGTATGCTGCCTTTCCTCTGGTTGCAGCTGAAAAACCGTCCAAGCCCCTAGCGATAGGCAATCTGTCTACCTGTCCAATATATGCTATGACTGTATATGGGTATCTATCTATTAAAGAACATAGACCAGAAATTCAATGCTCCCCACATTTGCCCTCTTTCCAGGATCTTTATCATCAAGTCAATATGTAATTGTTTCTCCCATCTTTTAAAAAAAAAAAGTCTTGAACCAATTCCCTCCAAGCAGCTGATTATTCTCCTTTCCTTTCTTAAATAACTTCCGCAAAATTAAGAGTTGTTTATACTTGCTGTCTCAAATGTCTCTCCTCTCACCTTCTTTTTAAATTTAAGAACTTATCCCACCACTCTACCAAAGCTGCACACTTGAAATCACCACCAGTGCCTCACATGGTTCAACTCAATGATCAGTTCATCACCTTCGCCGCCACTGGATGCAGATCCCTCCTTCTCCCCCAAACCCTGCAGTACAAAAACCTCGTCTCCCCTCTAGCACTCATGCTCAATCTCCTTTGCTGGTTTCTTCTCATTTTGCCAACCCTTTAGACACTGTGGTGCCCAGAGGTCAGTCCTTTTCTAAGTAATAACCCCTCAGTCAATGCCTCCATTCTCATGACTTTCAACATCATCAGTAGGCTGGCAACACCCGGTATGTACCTCAGCCCAGACCTCAACGCTAAATCCCCAGCAGCCTTTATCCAACAGGCTTCTCAATCTCTCCTTGTGCATCTTGTGCTGGGTCTACCCCATTTGCCACTGCAGATCTACCCCCTCCACCCTGCTGCCCTGAAGGTTAACCTATGTGCATTACAGCAGCAGGCTGCCCTTCCTTCTGCTCCCAGCAGGTTAGGTTCATGGAAGCACCGGCAGGAGACAAAGAGAAGAGTGCACAGCTACAGGACTCACTCCTGATTCTCTCCATGTGGGGTCGTCTCCACTGGCTGTGCCTCCTGACCACAGGTGGTGATGCATCTTACAGGCAAACCCTGTGCAGACAGACTCTCCTTCGAAGTTCCAACAACAAAGGATGGTTACGATGTGGTGCTCCTCTCCGAGCTTTTCCTATAGCCTACTTATATCTCTGCAGTGACTCCCTTTGTCAAAACCTCCTTTCAATTATATTGAATAAGCCACCTACAAAAGCCCTTCAAACCATTCATGGCGCAGGGAGGGGGGACTAATTAAAAGTTTATTTTCATACAAAAAAATTTTTGGAATTCATGTATACAAGGAGTCTTCAACAAGTTCATGAAAAATTATGAAAAAGCTATGCGTGTATTTAAAAAGATTTTTGCATCAAAATAAAACTTTTGTTCTAATTCCATTTCTCCTCAAGCTTTCTAAAGAAGCCTCGTATATCCTACAGGAATTCTGGCTGACAGGACGTTTGATTTGCATCGCAACTTTAACAAGCAACACTAAACTCTTATATAGTTTACCCATTTACTTATAGACAACTCCTTTCACCTTGCTATTCAGGTCAAAATCCCCGACATCCTCCTATCTCTCAGACCTACCTATCTGCAAGCCCTCTCTGCTCTCCCCTCAACAAAGATCCAGAACTCCACCATGTTTCGTCAGCTCCCTGGCTATCACCCTGGCCCAGCCACCATCACTGCTTGCCAGGATTATTGCAACACCCTCCTAGCTGGTCCCCTTGCTGCCAGACACTGTGTGGGAACTGTCTTTAGTTCGTTCCAGCACAGCAGAGCAACCCTGCTAAAGCATCGCTCGTCTTCGGTACCCTCCAGGGCGTCTCATCTTACTCGGAGTAAAGTCCGCATTTCTAAGAGTCTACAGGTTTCCAGGAGATTTGGCCACGCAGTGCTTTTCTGACCCCTGCACTTCTGCCACGCTGCCTTCCTTGCTACTCCCTCTGCCTGTAACATTCTCCCTGCAAACACCCTCAATGCCTTCTCCCTCACCTCCTCAGACCACTCCTCAACGCCACCTTCTCTGGCATCCTTTTGTTAAACTACAACAGCTCCTCCTCACATTATTTCTGTCCTAACCAATTACCACCACTCACCATGTTATATGCTTTCTTTTTCTTTCTGGTTTCCACCCACTACATCCACTCCACGAGGCAAGTGGTTTTGTCCCGTTCCCCACTATAACATCAGCCTCTAAAACAGCGGCTGGAAACAGCAGCCACTTAAATACTTGTTGTATGAACCACAATCAGATACCATCCAATCGACTGGTCACAATTAAAAAGTCTATCAGTACTACGTACTGGCAAGAGTGGGGAACACTAGGAACTCTAGCTCATCTCTACTTTGAGAAGCCATTTGGCAAGACCTAGCTACGTGTATGCCATCCAAATGGCCAACAAATAAAGGCAGTGTTCTAAAATACAGAATCATTCCAAAGAGTGCAGCAACCTATGTAAGGGAAACGTAATATTTTGTCATCAAAGAACAAACTCTACCTCTCAAAAGCCAACCATATAGCAACCAATACTGCAGCACGCATGGAGAAAGCAAGGCAGCCCTTCGACACTCCCGCTGTGGTGAGAGTAGACAGACAAGTAATCAGCAGAATAGGGAAGAAATGTAAGCACATATCAAAGTATGACAGCCACAACCTTCGAAGAAACCACAAGTAAACAAGACACTTAAGAAATCAGGAAGCAAAGACAGACCACAAGAAAAATACACAGAACCGAGCCATGTGCCAGGTTATAAGTTACCAATAAAATGCTTAAATAACCAAAATCACAAACCAGTTGACATGCCTGCTGCATTAGACTAGAATTTTTAATTGCCTTCAAACACACAGTATCTCTTATTACCAGATACTGACTACACAATTGGTTGAAATAAATCCACTGGTAATACGCATGCTAATTTCACTGCATTACTCCAATTTTCTCCTTCTAGATCTTCGGGCAGAAAGCCGATAAGAACTGTAACCGACCAGTCCACATTTTACCTTCATTCCTTTCTCGGACCTAGAAGAAAACAGCTTATAAACCCCCTAATTGGCCAGAATGCAAGGAACAAGAGGGCAATACTCCCTTGACTGGCAAGTGGAGGATTATTAGCCCTGGTGCAGTCAATATCTTGAATGTCATCTCCAAACCTCTATCTCAGGGGGCTATGTTACATGTGTCACCTACTCATGTGATAATGACACCACACTGAACTTTGTGCTCTGACTCACAACTTAATACTCTGCCACTTCTTTCCTACTCAGAAGTGCATTCCACAATGCCGGAAGAGAAAGCATCACTTTTTGAGTACTGTTCTGGTGCAGGCAGATGAAAAGCAGAATTTAACAGCAACCTAGAGTTGTGGGAAGAGGGAATTCAAAACAAAATATTTTCATTTTATTTCTCTGTTCCTCACATCTTCATCCTTTAAATCTTTTTAAACTGGCAAATATCTTTGTAGGTAATTGTGGGTCATACACAATTGTAAGGAAATAAGAGATCTCTTGTACACTTTGCCCATCTTCCCAGTTATAAAAACATAATTTCAAGAAAATGGGGGGAAAAAGCAAAAAACAAAAGAAAAAAATTTAAAAACCATAATTTCAAAGTAAGAGGGATGTCTATGCAGCTTTAGCTACGCGGTACCACATGCAACCAGAATTCATACCTGCGGAGCTGAGGAGGACACTGAAGTCTGTCCCCCTCTGAGACTCTCCTCCTTCATTATTCACCTCTTTTTCACTATCTCGATAACGATCCCAGTTAGAGACGATCTTCCTTCTAGAATAATTTCCCTGCTCATCATTCTCTCCTCCGTAAGTCTCTGTATCGCTGTCATCTTCAACCTGCAATCATTAGAGACAAATCAATAAGCAGGCAGTGGAAATCTCGACCTCAGTAGCCTTGAGAGTTTAAGAAAAAAGGACACAGGTTTCACAATAAAGAGCAAATTCATACAGCAAGTTGTCTGAGGATATTAAATAGTATTTTGAGAGAGTCCCATTATACCAGCCTCTTCTTTCAGGGTAAACTCTTTTGATGAGCATGGAGAAGGAAAGCTGGCAAGTTCTTGCCTAAATATTTGTGTAACTGATATCTGCAAAATCAGTCCCTTTCAATCTTAAGTCAACAGTTGTGTCATGTAGTTGAAATAAGGCTGTCAGTCTTAAATGCAAAGGGCAGTAGGACCAATATCAACTCTGCCTTTCGATGCAGATTTTTACGGACATATTCCATAAATGTGCTTTATAAGCTTATATATGGGGACCCTTCTCAGAGATATTTTAGAAAAGAGTTTTCAGCCTTGGGCAGTAAAAGGTTAAGACAGCAAACAGGAAAATCCAGATTATGAGAAATTCTAAGCCATTAAGGGCTCTGTTTCAACACAAATTGCAAGGGGAGGAAAAATGGCAGGGGAATGGGACAGTCCTGTAGTCAGAAGAGCTGACCAGGACATCACCAGTGTCATGTAGAGAACTATGTGTGCCCCGATTCAGACAACCCAGCCAGAGAGAAGAGTCACCATGAGACAACCGGAGAAATGTGGGAAATGACTGCATGTTTATGTAAATACTGTGGATTTTGTTGACTGTTTGGTATGATTACTGGTGTTGCCTTTTAAGTGTTTTCACCTTTGGGATATAAACACGAAACTCTCTAGGGATGAAACCACAACAACATGTGGGACTGGCTTCAAAACAGAGGGTAGAGCAGGACAGCGGGGAGAAGTGAAATTAAACTGTGTGACAGAGTGGCTGAAGCAGAACTGCTACACGGAAACTCATTCTATCTAATTTTGCATGAGTTTGAAAATTTCCATAATAAAATACCATATTTTTTAACAAGAGATATCTGTGGAATCCAAACAAATTTTAAGGAAATGCCCCAAAGATTATAAAATCCTTATTTAAAAAGTGTATTAGAAAACATATCTATACAAAATGTATTAGTATGGACTTTCGTTTTTTAAAAATAAGCATAAACACACAAATAGATCATATGCCTTGCAGAAGAGTAGGAAGAAATGATAAGCAAAATCTAAAATAAAAACCCGACATTCCCATCACCCCAGAGTACCATTAACAACTTAGTACATATGCTTCCAGGTCTTCCACATATTTATTTATACATCCTTTTTTTCTGGTAACCAGGTTTTTAAAATTACTGTTTTCCATCTCTCCATTCCAGTAAGTTTCATTTCATGTACCAAACTATTTCCAAATTTCCTATACAGCTGATTTTTCCAGACCACAATCCAATTCAGGACTACACATTAGATCTAATCTTCCCTTGAAATGTTTTGAATCTAGCACAGTCCCTAATTTTATGGCACTGATTTATTGACAAGGCCACGCCAGGCAAAACATGAAAGAAGCCATCTTCTGTGTGGTATTATTTGTAGATTTTTTAAAATCTTATTACCTATAAGCTAATCTAAAAGAAATCAAAATGCTCAACAAAGTTAAACATTTTCTGGCTCAAGTACATCATAGATGGTGCTCTGAGCCTTACGTCACACCACATCAAAGGGCAGGTAAGTGGATGAACCAACATGAGTCATGCCAGGATGGGCCAGAGGGCCTGGGTGATGAAGTCTGACCCACTCCCTATGCAGATGTGGTCCCATCGCTTCACACAGGAAGTGTAGGTATGGTGTTATTTTGGCTCACTTGTAAATTTTCCCAACAGCCACTCACCTAAGAAATTTACCTCTAGTCAATAATCTTTATCTCAATCAGGTTTCAAGAGCTTTTGTGATATGATGGTGTAACTGACCTTTCAAGATCACTTTCAGGCCTCAAATACCATAAAAACTTCCTTGTCAAGCCAAAAACACAGCAGTCGACATTATAATATAAGGACTGCTGGTTTCCCTCCAGTGTGCAAGTGTCTTAGAACCAAAAGATGCTGGCAGCCTAAACACTATGTGACTGGATGAGATCTGTCTTACAAGTAACAGATAAATTTTTTAAACATAACAGACATCAGAAACATTTTAAAGAAAACAGCTTTGTAACTGAGGAAAATCGGGGGGTATAGAACTAGAATGAAAATACTAGCAACGATTTAATCCGGGAAAATCCAATATTCTCAGGTTGGTCCACTGGGTAAATACAATTCATGGAGGGTTCTCTGGTTAGCATAAACCTTAGAACATAGCCATGAAACAGGGCAAAAATGTAAACCTAGGCAAAATAATTATCTTGGTTGGAAAGAGCATTATGATCTGAAACACCTGGGGAGCTAACACAGCGAAACAGCACAGAAACAGAAGGCAGGAGCCCTACATGGAATTAGTGGGCCTTCCACTGCATCACGTAACACTTACCACGTGTTAGGGTAGGCTGGGTCTCATACAGATCTATGACTCACTAATCCCAGATCAGCACAATCATCGATCTAGGATCTCATTACCCAAACACAAACACAGGGATGAGAGGACCTGCCATTAGCCTCCACAGGAGAATAGTCCAAAGTGATCAAACCCAGTTTAGAAGACATCTGGTATAGCTTGAAGAAAGATACACCGATCTTAACAACTCCTTGAGATTTCAACTTTGGTACATCAGGCAAAGATCTGGGACAAAACACAAACAGGCAAGGCTTTAAGATGCCTTTAAGAGAAAGAACAGAGCAAACAGGGAAAGACTGATGAAAGCAATGTGAAAACTCTAAATACAAGGGCATCATTTTTCTGTTAGACTCATTACAAAATTGGTCTGGTGGTTATCAATGTATTTCATACTTGGCCATTGGTCATTGGTTGCAGTGTTCCTAAAGTAACAGGAACCCAATTAGGTTAACAAGCTAAAGACCCATTATAAGATCAAACTACTGCTGGGCTATCACCTTCAACAATGTGCACACACAAATACACAAATACACACACACACACACACACACACACAGTCCACTTAGTACAAAGTCAGATTCCCAATGGGAAAAAAAGGTAGCTTGATGTTTTGCAGTTCTTCCTATAGCCAAGAGTCAATTTCACTTCACCTACCCTGCAGAATGGAGATGAGAAAATTTATTCCATGACTACTAATTGGACAACAGTGTAGCATTCTCTAGAAAGGAAGGGGGAAGAGGGGGAAAAGGGGGAGGAGGGAGAGGAAGGGGAGGAGGAGGAGGAGGGGAGGAGGGGGAGGAGGAGAATTAAACATGGGACAAGACATCCACAAGCATTTATGTACATAGGAGATTAATCTAGGAGACTGGAAAAGAAAATTGGTAGTTTTACTTACAAAGTGTAAGTTTTTACCCTTGTTCTAGGTAATTGAGGAAAGAACTGTATTACCATAAGGAACTGTAACCTACATTCAACTAACCAGAGAAGTTTTTTTTTTTTTTTTTTTTGACAGAGTGGACAGTGAGAGAGAAAGACAAAAAAGTCTTCCTTTTGCCGTTGGTTCACCCTCCAATGGCTGCCACGGCCGTCGTGCTGCGGCCGGCACATTGCGCTGATCCGAAGCCAGGAGCCCGGTGCTTCTCCTGGTCTCCCATGGGGTGCAGGGCCCAAGCACTTGGGCCATCCTCCACTGTACTCCCTGGCCATAGCAGAGAGCTGGCCTGGAAGAGAGGCAACCGGGACAGAATCCGGTGCCCCAACCGAGACTAGAACCCGGTGTGCTGGCGCCTCAAGGCGAAGGATTAGCCTATTGAGCCACGGTGCCAGCCCATATCACTTCTTAATTCACCTCAAGCAATAGCATTAAAATCACAGTCAAGAAAAGAAAATAAGAAAGAGTAGACCATCAACTTCCCACTGACAGGGACTGACAGGACAATTCTGTACTCTCACAAGAGTCAGCAACCCTGCCACACACACCACAGAACACAACTGAGGCTACGTTCCCTGCCACTTTTTGTTTCAACCAATTTTTATTTACAGAATGTAACTCTTCAAAAAGATACATTCCTTCATTTTATCAATGGTAAAAAGTCTTATTAAACAGAAACAAAGCCTAAACATCATCAAAATAAAGCCTAAACATTAAAAGTATATGAACATAGAACACAATATGTAGTTTTTACTCAGGCAGTTACGTGAATGAGGCTGTTTTTAAGTTTCTTCACTGACAACTCCGTTTTAACCACTGAACAAATTGTACTTAAATTAACAGTAGTAAAAAATTTAAAAACTCAAATTTAAACATGAAAATATGGAACACTCAAACTTTCTGAGGCATATCAAAACACCTACATCTAAGGTTGCATTTATTTGCAAGGTATCAATACATGTTCAGTGCTAAGACTATCTGTTGCACTTACAGTATACACAAAGCAGCATTAGACTACAATGGTTCAAATTTAAGCTTTATACCACAACTGGCCAATTCAACATTATAGCTAACGCAGTGATTTTTCTTCTGAAACTCAATAAGCAAGTTATCATTTGAGTACATGGAATAATGCCATGTCTTCTTTATAATAGTAAACTTTAAAATCCAACTAACTTCATATCATGAAAACTTCACCTAGCTGTACAAAAGCTCCCAAATACAGTAGTCATCAAGTTTCTTCTTTGTAGATTCCACTAATTTATAGTTATGTTTGTACAGATAAATGCAGGACACTACTCCAGATTACTGGGAACACAAATGTCAGTGCGTCTCTACCTGTACTTAAGTACAAGCACACCACAACCACAACCATGGCAAGTCACTGCCCTCACACGTCCTCCACTGCTTCCAGGGTTCCTTTCCACATCACAGAGCTAATTTAATGGATACCATCAACCTCTCTGCGAAAGTTCCTTTATTAAAAATTTTGAAATTTAACTAGTGGAACATGTACAGTCTCAATAAGCTAGTTTTAAGATTTTTAATTAAAAATTTTGAAATTTAATTTTAAATAAGTCTCAATAAGCTAATTTTTAGTTTTTAATTAAAAATTTTGAAATTTAATTTTAATTAAAAATTTTGAAATAACTACCAGAACATCTACAATATCAATAAGCTAATTTTTTTCACTAACTAGTTCCAATACAATATGTAATGCTTTAAATTTTTATAGATACTTCATTAAAATGATTAAAGGTATCTAAAAATGCCATTAGTGAGTAAAATATTAACCAAAAAAAATGACACTGAAAGTATTTTTGAGACTTTTCCTAACTAGAAAAGCTGTGGAATTCATAATGAACACGGATACAACGACACTTCAACCCTGCTGTTTTACAACATCAATAATAACAGTAAATGCAAGAAGCACAGAGAAGAGCAGGATTTCAGGAGAAAGAGCTATAAACACTTAAATTTTAGATGCCTCAAACACAAAAAGGTTCACAGCACTTATAAGTGCTATCATTTTCATCCTGTAATTAGTTCAAAGCTTTATTTCATTTCTAATTTTATCCAGAAATCAAAACCTAATTCATTACATGATGCATCTTATCAATTTCAGTTTTCAGGTATCAAAGTCATGCAAACTCAAGTGTTTTCTTTTGTGGCAATACCACATTTATGGACTGAGCTTCAAAGACAGAAAAAATTCATTTAAAATAACTGATGCACTCTTCTGCCCAGAGACATAAGGACTAAGACTTTTTTTTTTTTTTTTTTTTTTTTTGACAGGCAGAGTGGACAGTGAGAGAGAGAGAGACAGAGAGAAAGGTCTTCCTTTGCCGTTGGTTCACCCTCCAATGGTCGCCGCGGCTGGCGCACTGTGGCAGGCGCACTGCGCTGATCCGATGGCAGGAGCCAGGTACTTCTCCTGGTCTCCCATGGGGTGCAGGGCCCAAGCACTTGGGCCATCCTCCACTGCACTCCCGGGCCACAGCAGAGAGCTGGCCTGGAAGAGAGGCAACCGGGACAGAATCCGGCGCCCTGACCGGGACTAGAACCCGGTGTGCCGGCGCTGCAAGGCGGAAGATTAGCCTAGTGAGCCGCGGCGCCGGCCAGGAGTAAGACTTAACGCTGAGATCACACAAGTGGTATGTAATAAGAGAAGGGGAAAAAGGATGGCCCAATGTAATTTCTTCTTTTTAAAAAGATTCAAACACAGATTGCCTTAATATGTGGCTAGATTCCCAGTAACAAGATATTTTGAGATCTAAAGAACTACAGAAGAAAAACCAGAGTAAGTTCAATTTCCCTGTTGTTTTTCCATAAATGTTCCTGTTGTTTACTTTGGATTTGCCTTGTACTTTTACTGGGAGACTTTTTGCCTTCACCTTCTTTCATGGCGATGACCCTGTTTCTGTGTTTCTCTGTGTAACACATCCTTAAGCGTCTTTTGTAAGGCTCGAAGAGTGGTGACAAATTCTTTCAATTTCTCTGTTATGGAAGGTCTTTATTCCACCTTCACTTATAAGTGAGAGCTCTGCAGGGCACAGTATTCTGGGCTGACAGTTTTCTTCTCTGAGACTTGGAATATATCTCGTCATTCTCTCCCAGCCTGCAGGGTGTCTGATGAAAAGTCAGCTGTGAGTCTGATTGGACATCCTCAGAGTAATCTAGCGTTTCTCTCGTGCACATTTTAGAATCTTTTCTTTAGGTTTTACTGTGGAGAGTTTGACTACAATGTGTCGTGGTGAGGATCTTTTCTGATCATGACTGTTAGGAATTCTATGTGCTTCCTGTACTTAGATGTCCTTTTCTTTCTCCAAATCAGGGAAGTTTTCTGTAATTATTTCATTCTAAAGGCCTTCCACTCCATTGTCTGTTTCCGCGCCTTCAGGAACTGCTAAGATCTGTACATTGTGTTGTTTGATAGTATCCCATAAATCTCCAACACTGTTTTGTTTTGTTTTGTTTTGTTTTTTGGTCTGACTGTAAACTTCCCACAGATTTGTCTTCTGACAATCTTTCTTCTGTTAAGGCTTTCCACATTTTTTATTTGTTCTGTTGAACTTTTCATTTCCAATACTTCCCTTTGATTTCTCTTTAAAATATCAATTTCATGGGGAAAATGTTCTTGACTCATGTCACATACGGATTTCTTTAATTTGTGGATTTGCTGCTGATTACTTCTGGGTAATCCCATGATCAGTTTTTTAAATTCTGTTTCCAGCATTTCTTCTATCTCTTCATTCTCACACTGTAGTATTGAAGTGTTGTTGTGTTCCTTTCAAGGTGTCATGTTGTCTTCCTTATTCTTGTGTCTTGAGTTGCCTGGTTTATATCTGGGCACGTGTGGAGATACTTGTTGTTTTTCCCCCCTGTGATGGCTTTTATCTTTGCACTATGCCTCTGTGGATTAGTGGAGTGTCTGCTCTTTTAGTGAATACCCTGACGCATGTGCTGGGTGTGGCCAAGGAGCTCTGTTCATTGCTCCAGGGTGAGGAGAGTGTCCAAGGTGACACCCAAATTGAGCATGCTAAGTCTTTTTTTTTTTTTTTAATCAGAGGGGAGGTTTAATCTGCTCTGTGGGCATAGTCTCAGGCTCACCTTCTTTCCTCAATGGAGACCAATGCCTAGTCGCCCCAGTGGGACCAACATTTGTTCACACTGCCACAAGAACCACACAAAGGATCCATGCAGTCCTCTTTGTGTGCATGGATCCCACAGCAATGACCCTCGCCAGGGAATCAGGGAGCCCTGAACGTGTGGAGCCACCCACAGTGACCGCCCAAAGACCCAGCCACACGCTGCACCCTCCCACACAGCCACAGTGTTTTCACAGTCCCAGCACACAAGGCTCCCACATTCATGAGCACCCAGTCCCTGTCAATGCTCCCAAACTCAGGTGTCTCCTCTTGGCTGCTTGCTGGGGACGAGGACACCAGCTGCTGCAGTGGTTACCCATGTACAAAGTGGCCCCACCCTCTCAGTTTGTTACAGGACCCCAGTGCCAGGTGGTTGGGGAGAGAAATGTGCCCCCTTCTTTTCCCTCTAGGCTGGCAGGTACACTGTCCCCCACAGGACTCCACGCTGTATTCACGCCAGGCTCTTGTCACAACTCTATCGCCAGCAGCTTGGCTGCTGCAGTCTGGTCTCACCGCATTCTCCAAAGCTGGTGCTAAAGCTCTCGCTGCTGGGGTCCTGAGCTGTCTCTCCCCGTAGGTCCACAACGTCCCTCTAATTTGTGTGCAGTTTTCTTTGCCCTTTTTTCCCTAACTCTTCTGACACTGCACTCTCTCCAGGTTTTGTAACTGTCTTCCCCTAGATTACAGCAGTAAGCTCCCTCCCTAGTCTACCACCATCCCCTGCCACTTTCAGTCAAGACCCGCTTTTCCCCCAGTATCCAGCAACACGTTCCTCATTTTTTTTGTTTGTTTGTTTTGGACAGGCAAAGTGGACAGTGAGAGAGAGAGAGAGAGAAAGGTCTTCCTTTTTCCATTGGTTCACCCCACAATGGCCTCTGCACCACGCTGATCTGAAGCCAGGAGCCAGGTGCTTCTCCTGGTCTCCCATGCGGGTACAGGACCCAAGCACTTGGGCCATCCTCCACTGCACTCCCAGGCCACAGCAGAGAGCTGGACTGGAAGAGGGGCAACCGGGATGTTCCTCATTTCTGAGACCTACCCAGCTCTTCCTTTAGTGTCCATATTTTTAACAGTCACTTCTAGCATTTGCCTCAAAATTCTTCTTTTACCCATTACACAATTCCACAATCAGTTGTACATTTTTAGTATTTGTAACAGAACCTCAATTCCTGGTACCAAATCAGTACTAGTTTCTTAAGCTGCCATAACAAAGTATCAGGAGGTAATTATCACCACATGTAATCTGGCTTTGTAACAGAGTGACTGTAGCAAAGGTACCACAGAAAGAATACGGAGCAGAGCTATGCAGAAACAATGTTCCTGCACATCATTATAATTAGGTTAGCACAAATCTGAAGCAGATTCTGTTAAGTTAAAACATATGGTAGGCTTAGAACAATCATTTAAAAATTACTAAAAAGTACACCATGGCACACTGGGTTAATCCTCTGCCTGTGGCGCCAGCATCCCATATGGGCGCTGGTTCTAGTCCCAGCTACTCCTCTTCCGATCCAGCTCTCTGCTGTGGCCTGGGAAAGCAGTAGAAGATGGCCCAAGTCCTTGGGCCCCTGCACCTGCATGGGAGACCAGGAAGAAGCACCTGGCTCCTGGCTTCGGATTGGCACAGCTCTGGCCATTGTGGCCATTTGGAAAGTGAACCAATGGAAGGAAGACATTTCTCTCTGTCTCTCTCTCACTGTAACTCTACCTCTCAAATAAATAAATATTTTTTAAAAATGACTAAAAAATCTACAAAAACCTTAAATCAATTTAAATGCTACTTTCAAAATATTTACTTAATGTAAAAGAAAGCAGCAAAGAAAGAATTGAGGAATAAAATATGAATATTAAAAGGGCACAGGAATATCTAATTATATCAATAATATTATATAATATTAAATGTCAGTAGATCAAGGAATGCAGTCAAAAGGTAGAGACTGGCAGAATGCATAAAAACAGATCCAAACCATATGCTGTCTATAGGAGACACATTACATTCAAAGTTAAAAATAGCAATAAAAAGCCATCCTATGGGGCGAGCACGCGAGCGGCCGGCGGGGCTGCGTGTGGCGCAGGAGCCGGCGCTGCGGGTCGTCATGTTTCTCCAGTATTATCTCAACGAGGAGGGCGACCGGGTGTACACGCTGAAGAAGTTTGACCCTATGGGACAGCAGACCTGCTCGGCCCATCCTGCGCGCTTCTCCCCGGACGACAAGTACTCGCGACACCGCATCACCATCAAGAAGCGCTTCAAGGTGCTGATGACCCAGCAGCCGCGTCCTGTGCTCTGAGGGCCTCCTCCACCGCCTGCCGCTCCGCAGAGGCTCCTTGTAAAATAAACCAAAAATGCCCCCTCCACCTCGGCCATGAAAAAAAAAAAAAAAAGCCATCCTATGTCAAGAGTAACCAAAAAAGCTAGCTACAATGACTAAATAAAAAATCAAAAAGACATTAAGAATTGTTTTAAGAAAGTTGTTATAGAATAATGGGTCATTCAGAAAGATACAACGATTATGAGCATACAAATATATGCTCTAACAGAAACCCACAATTTATGAACAAAAAATGAATTTAAGGCAGAATCCAAGGTTCAAGGTTAGTTGGAGGGGCTGGTGCCATGGCACAGTAGGTTAATCCTCTGCTTTCAGCACTGGCATCCCATTTGGGTGCTAATTCTAGCCCCAACTGCTCCTCTTCCAGTCAAGATCTCTGCTATGGCCTGGGAAAACAGTAAAATATGGCCCAAGTGGTTGGGCCCCTGCATCCGTATGGGAGAACAGAAAGAAGCACCACCTAGCTCCTGGCTTCAGATCGGCGCAGCTCTGGCCGTTGCAGCCATTTGGGGAGTGAACCAATAGAAGGAAGACCTTTCTGTCTCTTTCTCTCTCACTGTCTATAACTCTACCTCTCAAATAAATAATAAAAATCTTCAAAAAAAAAATTAGTTGGAGACTTGAACACCCAGAATTCAAGGTTCAAGATTAGTTGGAGATTTGAACACCCCACTCTCAATAATGGCTAGAATAACTAGACAAAAGGGATAATATGTATGGCAGGACCAGTAAAAAGACTTACTTCATTGGGGTAGGTACCATGGCATAGTGAGTAAAGCCAGCATCCCATATAGCATTGGTTCAATACCTGGCTGCTCCACTTCCAATTCACCTCCCTACTAATGCACCTGGGAAAGCAGTGGAGGATGGCCCAAGTGCTTGAGCACCTGCACTCACATGGGAGACCCAGAAGAAGATACAGGCTCCTGGCTTTGGCCTTGCCCAGCCCCAACTGTTGCAACATTTGGGAAGTGAACCAATATGTGAATTATCTCTTGATCCCAGAACAATATATATAATATTTCACGGATCCAAAATGTTGTGGCTGCTAAGAAAGGGGATCAAAAAAAATGCAGACTACTCAAATTCAAGTGTCCCTCCTTGAGAGCAATATATGGAACATGAAGAGGGGGAGGGAAGTGCAGGACCCCAGGAAAGAGAAGATGGTCTCCACTCTCAGAGCAACAGCTCAGTGGCTGCTCTCACACCACCCCCTTCCTGCTCCAAGTCCTTGAGTCTTCATCAGCATCGATCTGTTTCAGACGTGGCTGGAATGGGCAGCATACAAAGCCAATGCATAACCATGTGCTGGCAGCCCACACAGGGACAGGGATGGGTTTCTTATGGTAAAGACCTTGAGAGTTCTACACTTGGACAATTTAGGGGTAGTCTGGGAAATTAGACTGGAGCAATCTTGATTGGACTAATAGTGATCTTAAACTATGCTTCGAGGAAGTCGTTTGATAGAGTCATTGCAGAAAGGAGGGAACAGACAGCAGGAAAATCCATTTCCGTTACCTGCTTTAGAAATTGAGCTTCAGGCACCAACTCAGGCTTCTGCCCCACTTTAAACACATGTGAAAGCGACAAAGTTAATCAATCTTGCAAGTCCCAACTCTCACGAAAAGTTCTATCAACAAGATTAATACCAGCAACTTCTCTAGTAAACAAGGTACTAAATGGAACGACAGGAATTCAATTTGTTTCTTGATGCGGCTGTGAGCTAACAGAAAACGTAGTGTTTTGCTTTGTTGATCTACTTAATACAGACACACACAAATAACTAGTGATGCAACTAAACAGTCTACAAGTGAAAAAAATGGTCATTTGTTAAATCATTCCATTGGAAGGTTACATATACACAATATCAACCTTTATATGAAGAGCCTGAGGACTCCTGGAACCCTGAGCTCAACCAGGGCCACTGACACACCTACGCATTTCCCTGAGGAGCAGTGACTCTTCAGGGACACCTGTCTGTCCCTTTGTTCCATTTCCTTTGGAAGGTCACTGCAAATGCTTAATGCTGCAAGTGGCCAGGTTTCTTCCTGACTCTGTCTCAGTTAAAATTTCATCTCCCTTATCCGCTAGCTTGGGTCTTGTTTCCTTGGTTACTCAGGTTTTAACGTCATCACCCACCACCACTGTCCACAAAAAAAGAAATTCACATAGCATTAGATAGCTGTTTATCTGCTGAGATACTCCTAACACCCTCCAGTCACCAGAGGAAGAGAACTTAATTACCAAGGACAACTGGCCTGCTGTGTCCTTGGGTTCCAAGTTCAGGGATCCAACCACAAACGGAAAACATTGTTAAAGCTGCATCTGTTCAGACCATGCACAGACTTTCCTTGTCATTATTCCCTAAACAGGATGAAATAACTATTCACACCGCATTTACATTGCAGCAGGTATTGTAAGTGCGCTAGAGAGGATCTCAAGTATACAGAAAGAAGGACTGCAAAGGTCACATGGAAATGTGACACCGTCTTACGTAAGGGTCTAGAGTGCCGGCAGACTTTGGTATCCGTGGGAGGTCCTGGACCCAATCCCTGCACTGGACGCTGAGGGATGGCCGTAGGCAATCACTGAGCTAGAAGGAAATGAGACAGCCCTGGTCCCACCTCTGCCTTTCATCAAGATCACGCAGAAGCCACAGCTGACCAGTCCACCCCATGCCTGGTGACCTCATTACTCCTTCTTAGTCCTCCTCACTGTGTGTCCTAAGTTGCTTAAACTCCCTAGGACCCTGTGAGTGACTATACCCAAAATTTACTCAGTCTGCTAAGCACCCCCTCCCTACTGCAATTTTTTTTTTTTTAAATGTATTTGAAGGTAGAATTACAGAGAGAAAAGGAGAAACAGAGGAGAGGGAAATTTTCTATAGAAAATTTGCCTACTCCCAAATGGCCACAATGACTGCAGCTGAGGCAGGCCAAAGCCAGGAGCTTCCTCTGGGCCACCCATGTGGGTGCAGGGGCCCAAGGACCTGGGCCACCTCCACTGCTTTCCAGATACATTGGCAGGGAGCTGGATCACAAGTGGAGCGGTTCAAGTCCCAGCACCCATATGAATCCTGGAGCGCAGGCCGTGGCTGAACCAAACGCACCACAGCACCAGCCCCTGCAAATTTTTAAAAATATTTTAGAAGCACTCATCTCGCTAGTTTCTCTTTGGGACTTACTTCTCTCTTTAAATACAACTCTATGTGGAACTTATTTTTCTACCTGCCTAGCCTACAGCATGTCTATGTAAAGAGCACAGTTTCTGTTCCTTATACTACTCAATAAGCGTTCCCTGAGTAGCTACTGAGTGCCAGGCCCTGGGAACACAAAGACAAATAAGACAAGTCCCTAGGCTTGAGAACTCACAGGCCGGGGCAGGGGCATCAGACAAGTTAGCGTACATCTTACTAGAAAACATCCGAAGAAGCACAGGTGTAGTAAGCACATTCCAGGCAGGCATTTGGCACAACTGCTAAGAAACTACCATACCCCATCTCAGAGTGCAGGGGTTCGAGACGCGGGTCCTCTCCCAATTAGCTTCCTGCTAGTGTACACTGGTGATGGCGCCAGTTCTTGGGTCCCTGCCACCCACACAGGAGACCTGGTCTGCTTTCTGGGCCTCTGGTTTCCACACGGCCGGGCCCCAGCCCAGCTCTCGGAGGCACTGGGAGAGAAACAAATGGACGGAAACTGCCTTTTTGAGTGGCTGTACTCAAAATGGACTCACTATGCTAAGCACTTTAACAGGGCCTCCTCTCCCGACTGCCAGTTTTTACTATAAAATGCCAGAAGCAGCCACCTTGCAATCCCCAGCAACGGCTGCCGAGTGCAACGCTGGCACAGCACAGCCTGAAGCAGCTGAAGAATTTAGGCAACTCTCACACTAACTGGCCAAAGCTCCTTTGCCCCAAAAAACCACAAACCTCACTCTCACGAAAACCTGCTGGGGGCAGGGGGAATGCTGGTGATAGAATCCAGATGGGGCTGGACACGAACAATGAAGGAAGAGAGAGGGGTCAGATGGGGAGGGGAGAACAGCGGATTTCAGAAAGTCTGCTGTGCTTTGTGTTTTATTTGAGAGGCAGTGAGAGTGAGCTCCCATCCACCGGTTCACTCCCCTAAATGACTGTGACAATGTCTGGCTGGGGCTGAAGTCAGGAGTCAGGAGCTCAATCAGGTCTCCTAGTTATCCAAGCCATCACCTGCAGTCTCCCAGGGTCTACGTGAGCAGCAAGCTGCAGTCAGGAGCAAGGCTGGGGGCAGGGGGGACTGGGAACAGACCCTGCGACATGAGACACACGTGTCTTGAACCACTCGGCCAAATGCCCACCCCAAGAAATTCGGTGTTTTTACACACACTTGAACGACAGAAGAGAGTGCTCCGGAGCTGAGGCCTGTAAAGCTCTCTTTGGCAGTGTCTCCATTCTAGGGGTTCAGAAACACAACCCCAGCAAAGATGAGCAACAACAAGGGACTGAGTCAAATCCCTGAAGAGCTGTTAGAACAAGGATAGGAGGCCGGCTCACTAGGCTAATCCTCCGCCTTGCGGCGCCGGCACACGGGGTTCTAGTCCCGGTCGGGGCGCCGGATTCTGTCCCGGTTGCCCCTCTTCCAGGCCAGCTCTCTGCTGTGGCCAGGGAGTGCAGTGGAGGATGGCCCAAGTGCTTGGGCCCTGCACCCCATGGGAGACCAGGAGAAGCACCTGGCTCCTGGCTTCAGATCAGCGTGGTGTGCCGGCCATGGCGGCCATTTTGGGGGTGAACCAACGGAAAAGGAAGACCTCTCAAGGATAGGAGACTCTGTGAGAAATTCCACGAAGCTTCCACAATACAATTTCACCATGTAAATATCTAACTAGAAACTCCACCCTGTCCTTAGAGGCTAAGAATTGAAAAGAATAGCTGTCAAGTCCTGCCCCTGCTCAAACTTCAGTACAGTGCATGAGGAAAAGGGGGTGGGGAGCCCGAGAAGAGAGGACCGGTAAGGCCCTCGGGGAGCTGCCCTCTCAGGTTCTTGATCG